TATATATGGTGTCTGTTTTCTGTAAATTATCCCATGTTTCCTAGGAAAACGATGCAACCTTTTTGGGGGAAAAATCTGTCCATTCCAATGTGCAAAAATTAAAAAGTATAGCTATTAAAAAAATATTTCAAATCAGTTTTGCTAAGGATCGGTACAGGAAAAAAAAATTACAGATGCGCCAGTAATTTAATAAGCAGCTTGTTATATAGCGATTAATCTGTATTCGTATAATTATACATCACTTTTGAATTACAGAGTTTTCTGGTTTGATAAAAAAACATATCTGTTACAGATAATTATGCTTATCTAAATAAACACGAGAAATAAATGAACACTAACGATTAAAAAAAAAAGAAAAACACTGCTCCTTGATAAAGAAAAAAAATATTATCTATAATAATAATTACAGTTGTCACATATAAGTAATACATTCACTAAATGTATTCTCTTGCATAATGTGATACTGAAACTAATTAAAATTGATTGAAATTTTCACGGCTCACCCTCTCCCATTGTAAATGTATATCATGAAAGTATTGACGCTCCTGATTTTTCATATTTCATCAAATTTACCTATTTATTTCAATATCAATAACCAGAGGACTATCTATTGCAGAGAAGGATAAACTAAAGTTAACATGACAAAGATGAAGTGCTTATCTACTTGTAGCCGATGTCCCCGTGGACCCAGGTTAATTAATGAGACTCATCCTAAGGTTATACATGATCTATTGCTTCCTCTAATTAGAAGTAATAATCATGATCATTATTCTGGTTAGCTGGAGTGAAATAAGATGAATGTGCTTAAGTATGATTAATAATAATAGAAAAGAATAAATTCAGATTATTGCAGCCTAAGATTCAGTATTTAAACCGTGAAGATGTTGTTTCACATTTTCATTTTGCACGTATAAAATGAATTAACTCGTGTGTGGTGGACCGAGTGATGAGGAATTCTCTTGGCACACGTAACAATAATCGCTGATGTATATTTTTTAATATTAGTAGTCAGGGCAGCTAGGTGTTTTTGATGACATTTTATATAAAGTCAAAAGAGCACTACACCTAAAAAATAAATTAGGTATCTTATGCTAAGAAGTGTTTTGACTTTTTATACACCTTTGCTGGGCTACTAATTCCTCTGTGTACCTTGTTAAATTTGGCAAAAAGAAAAGAATGATGCTTGTTTCCATATATGTATCCCAAACTTGTTTTTTATTATCTTATTTATATATATATATATACACTGAGTGGCCAGATTATTAAGACCACCTGACTTTTGTAGGCAAATTATTTATAATATATATATCAAATTCTCACCGGTTCATCCCTCTTACCTTTATATCATTACAGGGTTCATTGCACTGACGTGGAGGTGTGGTGTGCCCAGAAACCAGTGAGAGGTGTGGTGTGCCCAGGAGGTTGGAACTCCTGGAAGTGTGGGTTTCCATGAAGACCTCAGCAAAAGATTCCTCAGGATCAGAGTGGCTTTTAAACCGGGGAAAGGTGCGTATTTACTATCTTCTTTTACAGGTATTCCCTCTTTTATAGTGAAACAGTTGCTTAAATATGTTAAAGTTGATATGATATTTTGGAAATTGAGTTTACAAATACTTTAAATGATGCGTTGGCTGCCAGCTCTGGGCCACAACTGTTAAATCATTGCCCATATATGTGTAGGGCTAGTGTGCAATTATGTAATGTTAAATGCACACTAGATACCTGGGCAATGGGCAGCACAGTGACTTAGTGGTTCGCACTTCAGCCTTGCAGCCCTGGGGGTCCCCACCATGAATAAAGATCTAATTACTCCTCAGGATCCCTCAAATTCTATCAGTTGATTACACACTTCATCCAACAGTACCAAGCCCTGATGAAGGGGGCCCCTATGAATGCCTGAAACATGTTGGGTTTATATACTACAAGAGTCTGAATAAAATTAAATCAGAACATTTTGCTTTTGGCGATTTCACCCCTGCACACCCAGTTCCTACATTTAAAGAAGAAGTCTTAGGGGGGTAATTCACAAAACTGCCGAAGGCAGCAGAGTGAATAACCCAGCCGCTGTTCGGCTATTCACTTCTGCTCAGTACAGCTGATTTCAGCTGTACATCAGCTGAAATCAGCCGTACATCGGCTGCACTTCGGTCAGCCGAACATGCACTTCGGTCAGCCGAATCTTCTAGCAGGTCCCGGCCAATGAATAACAACTGAGCGGACCAGGCCGTGACGTCACAGCCGGCTTCGCCCAGTTGTTATTGTTTAATGACAGATCAGCAATGCCAGGTCATTTGGGGACACTGATTGGTCATTACAACTGGGCGGAGCCAGCCATGAGATCACAACTGGATCCGCCTAGCTGTCATTTGCGGGGCTTACAGTTAGCCCTTCGGCAGGCCGTTCGCCCCGCTTCAGGCGTCACTTATGTCGAGCATATGCCTTTAGCTCGGCTGAGCTGCTTGCCCGCCTTGGGCTGCTGTACGGGCTGTAGTGAATAGCCTGTACAGCAGCCCTTCGGTTTGACTGAACCGAAGGGCTCAGGTGGCCAAAGAGAGCAGAAGGATCAGCCGAAGCTGCAGCTGGAACCTTCGGCTCCTCTGTGAATAACCCCCCATAAAGTTTAGAATTCATTTTATCCAAACTCTTATTTGATCACTTACTGATAACATTTGAAAGATTGAGTGTTCACTGGCAACTGCAGCGATCATACTAATTACCCCTTAGCATCCCTCAAGTTCTGTCAGTCGAGTACACACTTCATCCAACAGTACCAAGCCCTGGTGGCTAGATGCAGTTTAAAAAAAACAAATACAGGGAGAAGGAGACACATTCAGGGGAACAGATCAGCCACACATTTTTGTAATGTTGCACAGCAAAACAGCACAAGACTCTCGTCGTCATCCTGAGTAAAAGTCAATGAGCACTCTGGATATCAGCTCTAAACCCACTGCAAAATTCTGACGAGGCATTCATTGCCATAAATCTTTGTACTAGCAATAGTTAGTGCGGCAATGCCAAATAATGACCCAGGACATGTTGCCAAACCATCAAATTTTACTGCCTCATAATTAGAGCCTTGAGACAAGGTCTCAATTATTTGTTATAATAACCCATATGTCAGCCGTCAGCCAAAGTATCTTTTCCCTACACATTGGGGAAGCATCTAATATTTCATCATTTGCATTTCTCATCTTCTCATTGGCCAGGTAAAAAAATCAGACGGAGACAGAGGGATTCCAATTTACAATAAAGGAATATTTTTAATGTATTTGTGTTACAAAGGATACGCAGCTCCAGGACAAGACAGTCTCTGTCTGTGCCCATTCCCTCCATTACAGTAAGGGCCCGTTCGCACCAGGGCATGCGCTATTTTTCTCAACCACAGCACAATGCACAGTATTGCGGTACCACACGGTCAATTGCATTGCATGCAGGAGGTGACTTCGGGGTGTTACTTAAATAAATTGCAACACAACGTATTTACTGCACTACAAACACATAGTAGGTGCATGACACTGTGCCATGCATTAATCGCAGGGAAACATGTGATTAATGCATGGCCCTGGTGTAAACGGGCCCTCACATTGTGGCTTATATACTAATGGAGTAAAGAATGTTTTACTTTGCTAAGTGAAATTTCTATAGCTTAGTGCAGAAATAGGCAACCTTGACACTCCCATGAGGCAGTGCAAGACTGACAGCTACAGGCATAACTCCCAGTGAAAGAGGCATGATGGGATTTGTTTTTTCAACACAGCTGGAGTGTTGAAGTTGCCTACCCCTGGCTCAGTAAATGTAGCGAAGCAATGTCTTGCAATAAGAGCAAAATTTTGTAGAAAACCACCACCGAATAAGGCTGTAGCAGTGCGAGCGATGAGTCCGTTTAACGACAATGCATGTCACATTGGATAGATTCCTTGTTAAGGTTTCACGAAATGAAAAAGATTCCATTGAGTCAAGAGATAGCAGTGATTCCGTTAGTGGTAATGAAAGTCGTCATCCACAATAATCCTCCTCTCTCTTGTCCCCCCTCACACCAGCCACGAAGGTACCGGTAATTGGTTTATTTTTCTTTATATTTTGTACAGTATTATATTACAGTACAGTATTGTAATCATTTTTATAGGAATATTTTGGGGTTGTGGAACGAATCATCTGAATTTCCATTATTTCCTATGGGGAAATTCGCTTTGATATACAAACGCTTTCGATTACAAGCATGCTGCCGGAACGAATTATGCTTGTAAACCAAGGTATTACTGTACAACCAAAGCTCTACCAGGTCTGAAAGGTTACAGTGCAGCAACATTGTTGCAGCAAAATCACAAGATTTCCACAAAAAAAAGCATTTCAAACCTGAAGACCTTGTCCATCTACGGTGACCGAGTTCGCTCTCTGCATCTTCGTCCTTTCACCCGATTTGTTCCCCTGTTGAGCACAGTTCTTCTCCTTCTTCACTGTTGACTGTCTCTCCTTTAAGAAAAGAGACATTTGCAATAAATGTTTGTATAATGTCAGCAAGAAAAAAAAAATCAATAGCTTTCTTTTTTTATACACAGTATTATACTGCATTTTTATGACATAAAGGGGTCTATTAATAAACAATCCACAGAACCATTCATTCTGCTAATCTCTGTAAACATGTGTTCTGTGCGAATAGAGGCAAAACAAACAAAAAAACAGTTTTAGTATAGATTCTTTTTAGGTAAAATGTAATGTTACATTATGACCACTAGATGGAGCTGAGGAGCACATGAAATGAGTCATTATTTCCTACGCTCCTAGGCTCCATCTTGTGGCCATGCTGTGGTATTACATTACATTCTACCTGAAAAGAAAATATACTTAAATGTTTGTTTTTTGCCTCCATTTACACAGAACAAATGTTCACAGAGATTGGAGAGAATGGCTCTGCGAATTGTTTGTAGCTAGAGCCCTTAGTCTTATCCATTTCAGCGCAGTCTCACTCACTCTTTTTCATACATTTTAGTGTCTTCTCACTTCATTCTATACACGTCAGTGTCTTCTTAAGTCTTCCCCATAATTCCGTTTCATTGTAACATACAGGGGGTTATTCACTAAGCTGCCGAAGGCAGCCGAATGACTAACCGGACCAAAGTGAAGTGAGCCGAAGCCTCTTCAGCTATTTACTGCAGACCTGTACGGCTATTTTTAGCTGTACATTGGCTGCATTCGGCTCACTTCACCTCCCTTTGGCGTGGCCGAGCAGTCTCAGCACGTTCGGCTGAACAGAAAAGCCCGCCAGATGCAATATCTGGATCTGCTGAGGTGAACATTCTGCAGTTCCTTCTTCACTTCCTAATCTCAAAGGGGCCGAACAGCAGAGAGTGAATGTTCGGCTCAGCATTCGGCTCGGTCATTCTGTTCGCTACTTCAGAGGTAGCAAACAGAATGGAAAATGTGAATGTAAAAAAATTAAACCGGTGTGGGATTCCCCTACAAATTCATACCAGACCCTTTAGGTTTGGTAGAAATTTTAAGGGGGCCCCAACACCAAAAAAAAAAAAATGCGGGGGTCCACCCTAAAATTCCATACCAGACCCTTAATCTGATCACTGGCCGGGCATGGTAGGGAGAGTGCCCCTCCCTCCCTGCACCATACCAGGTTAAATGCCCTCAACATTGGGAGGGAGCTTTTCCAGTGGGGCCCCCTGGAAAAGCACCTTGTCCCCATGCCAATGAGGACAAGGGCTTCTTCCCCACAACGCTGGCCCAGTGGTTGTGGGGGTCTGTGGGCAGGGGGGCTCATCTGCATCTGGGTAGCCCCTTTCATGAAGGGGGCACCCAGATGCCTCCCCCCGTTGTGAATGAGTAAGGAGTAGTTGCTACCCCTACTTATTCACCAAAGCGAAAAGTTAATAGTTAATAAAAACACTACACCATAAAAAAGTCCTTTTTAGGACAAGTTTCCAGATTCTTCACAAGCCCGTCTGTAAATTGGTTTTCTTTAGGGTCAAATTATTGTGCGCATTGATTAATCCAAAACATTAACATCACAACAATAAATGGAGAATGCAATGACGCCACAAGCTATTATGTTATCAAACAGTTCCGATTTGTAAAAAAAAAATCTTTTTTTTTCTTCATATCATTATAAAATAAGTGAACTTAAAGGGCATATCCCTTTCTTCCCCTAACATTGCATTTAAGCATATCTTGTGACATTTTCTTTGTATCTGATCTACTTTTACCTATATCTTTATGTATATTAATTGCTCTTGCGATTAAACAGACCCTAAAGGGTTCTACTTATGAATGTGTTTGAGGTCTGCGCGTCTAGGGGACTCATTAGCGAAAATGTGTTTGTACATCAAAAAACAGCTGTTCAATGTGCTATAAAAATCAGTTTTGTGTATATTTAAGCAGAATGTATTCCACAAGGGTTGGTGTGTCTTGTGTGTTCAGATGTTTGTTTTTTTCTCCCTTCAAAGGAATCTCTGTTTTTTTTATTTATTTAAAGTGGTCACGCTGTGGAAATTGCTTCTGTGTTTTAAAATGTAGCTGCCGTTGCCAAGTAGACAGCAGTGGAAAATCAGTGGCTTCGGCATGTCTTAAACGTGAGAATATAGAATAGAGAAAACACATTCTTTTTTCATTTTTTTTAAATTACACAGATTATATTTTTATATTATATTATATAATTTTTAT